CTGCCTCCCTGAGTTTGCTCAGTTTCATGCTCAACTATATAAATATGCCCACCTATTTCCCTAATATATAAAATACTTTATGCATTCCCTTCCTTGCAAATTTCGATGATCAATTATTAATCTCTTTATATTGTATGTAGAAGGCTTTCTGGATACTCCCTTCTCATAATGATGAAATTCAGTCATCATTCTGATCACATCTCATCAGCCATGTAAGGGGAGTGTGCTCAGAAAGCTTCACCAGCCCTTAAAATCCGAGATGGATTATAAGGCTATCATTTTTGTCTTCATTAAAGCCAAGTCAATATACCTAGCTTTATTCATGAGCAGTGGAATTTTGAAGTTTTATCAGTTTTCGAGGGGGCAAAATACAGATGGAAAGCATATTCATCTTTCTTCTCCCAAATGGTGTCAGCATCTTGCCAAAGCAGCTTTCCTTGCTGGCAGTGACAATAATGGTGAAAAAAATAAAGGGAAAAGATTGCCTTTGGAATGTACAGTTCACAGTATGTAGATTCATTCAATTTTAAACAATAGCCATTCAGGGTATAGAACTAGAGTCCCCTATTATGGGGGAGATGGGCAGGGGAGAAATCCAATAAACAAACAAATAAATAAATAAATAAATAAATAAATAAATATAAATATAAATATAAATATAAATAAATAAATAAAAAAAACTATGTGCCTCCAGAGTGTTACACTGGGAGGATTGGTATAAAATCAATTGAACATTGATTTCCTGTGGCATAACTGAACATGGCCTGAAATACAGAGAAAAGGTGCTTGTATCTCTCTATATGGCATCCATGATAATAGCAAAAAAAAATGATAGATAAAAATTAGGTAGCCGAAGAAATTGTACTAAAATTTAAACACTTTACCTTACGCTTTTCATTCGTAAAAGAATTGCACCGTGTGTAGTTGGACCAGGTTCGATTGCTTTCAGGATGCCGAAACCAAGTTCCAGTCTTATCACAATATTTTGTTGCCAATTCTGTGAATTAATAATTCAGCGGATGTAATTCATTTGAGAAGCTTGTATCTATATATTAAAGCCCATACTTTTATACATTAATTAAGTGTGGTTGGAATTAAAAAAAAAATCATTTATCACATCAGTGAGATGAATTGTGATTATTTGTCATTTCATTTAACTTTAGTAAAATAGCAAATCATTAAAAAGAAGGCATCCTAACAGCCTTCTGTAACAAGATATATTTCACTTAACTGTATTTTCTACTGTACTTCTTAAGCCTCAGCGACAGAATCAACATAACCAAGATATATGAAGGTGGTTTAATTGTGGCCTATTTGTATTTAATGCATTAGAATGGATAGGGTTTTTTACATTTTAATTCTGATTCCCTCTTAGCTGAATATTATTTTCTCAATTTAGTGGGACCATTCATCCTTAATTAAAGTAAGGGGAAGGTCCGCAGTAGGGAAAATCTGAAGAATTTCGGAAAGGATATCTTGCCTTAAATATGAGCCGGCGAAAGAACTATTTTCTCTCTTTAACAGTTGAAAATGCCACCTCATTGCTGACCAGAGTAGCTGCACCACCATTTCTCACAATCATAATTATTGGATTGATGGACTAATGCCATCATTGCTATATTTTTACATCTCTAACATACTTAGCCCTATAGGGTACTATTTATAGCCCTACATGCTATGTGCTACAGTGTACTTAGCCATATCAGGAGGACCAGGCAAAAAAACCAATGCCATGTAGGTCTAGAACTACTTTTATTGCAACAGCTATAGTAACAGAATCTTGCAAGTCTGAATGTGCTTCCCCCTTCTCTCACTTTATCTTTGTGTGAATTAGGGAGGTCTGAGACATTTACTCAAATTTAGTTTCTTGGACAAGCCGCACTTGTCTGATCACTGCATTGTTAGTGGCTCTTTCTCCTATCCTTCAAGGACATTCCCTATTTCCTCTACAGCTACATACTTACACACCTGCCAGGTTTCACATACAACAGAGCCCCCTACTGTCATAAATCCTAGTTTGTTTGATTACGTTCATATAATAGCTAATACCTTTGCTGAACATGATGAAATTTCCCTGTCTCACAAATGGCTTCCCACATATCAAGTACATAGCACTCAAGATTGATTACACTGTTATGACTGTTTAGGCAGAAAATCCCATAAGCAGTTTCTCCCAAGAAGTAAAACTTCAAACACAACAAATTAGCAATTTGTCACTATTTCTGGCATCCCACATCTGCTTCAAGCTACTTCACTTCCTTAATGTTGGCACCACTAAGCGCCAACTATCTTTGCGAGTTCTTAGAGTGAAAACAAAAAGAGGCAAATGATTAGACTAAAACTATTCTGAGGGATCTGAGTGCTTCCAAGAAGCTGGGGGTAACTTCCATCATTTCCCTGGTGCTGTGAATGTCAGCTCCACCATCAGGGTCCTTTATTAATTTACTGAAACTGTCTCATATTTTCACTTTAATACACCAATAAAGAGATTTACAATTTTTTTGCTTTAAAAGTGTAATAATAATCCTAAATATTCCTAGGAGAAAATGATCACAGGAGCAGTGCCAATGCAACTTCACTGTTTAAATTAAAACACTGACAAGGATTACAGTACTATTAAAAGCTCAAGGGGAGGTTTTATTGGGTTCTTGGTATTCTCTGAGCTTTGTTTTCTTCTTACAAATGTTTCATTACCAGTCTGCAAGTTTTATGTTAAAGAATCACTTAGAAAGGGAAAATCCAATGTTAGGACAACACCACAGAAAAGAACTTCTTTATGACAACTACTCAACTAACTCCTTAGGTATCTCAGTTGACAAGCAAGTTTATATTGGAAAAAGTAGTCCTTCAAATACTCTGCTGCTCTAGAACAATGTGATACAAAATCTTTTTGATGGTTTTAATAGCTTTTGTGTTGACCTTCTGCTGGGCCTAAATGATGCAGATACTAGTGGTATGAATAATAAAGTCACCTTATAATGAACATGAAGCATTCATATCACAATAGTTTCAAATACTCCTGATCCATTTCTGGGCACTGCTCAAGGTGCTGGTTGTACTGAAAGTCCTGTACAGTTGGAGATTGAGTTATCTGACAGACTGTATTTTACTATATATGTATGCCTCAGTTTTAAAATCTTTCGGAGATGTCCTTTTTACTCTTCACCATCTGTATATACTGGAAAACCAACAGAGGACCTTTGTGGTGGCTGACCTCAGCTTTTGGATCTCCTTATTCTATCTTTGATCAGTTCCTAACAGTAAGCAATAAAGTTTTCAGATAGGCCTCTGTGTCACCATTGATTTTATATATTCCTGTTTTCTTTTTATAGTTTTACTTTATATTTTATTGCTGTTTACCATATATTCCAAATTATATGGTCTCATTCAATAACCATGTAAAGGCAAGGCAAAACATAAACATATTTCTTCTTATTCTATTCCCCACCTTACCAAAAAAGCAGCAAAAGACTAACAGCTGAGGTAACATGTTCACTTCTGGTAAGGAGCAGCACATTTTATCTAGAAACACTTGGAATAAGCACTCTTTAAATCATCTAAAGTATAGATTATCTAAAGCTGGCAAGCATCTGAAATCTCAAGCAGAGCTTAAAGCTGATGAAACACAATGTACCACATTTTTATTGAGTGTTATTGCATTGATATCTAAGGGTTTATTATAATAACATTTATTTCTCCTCTCCAATTGCTTCACTTGGAAGGCAGAGAGGAGGAGGAAAATAGCTTCTCTAGTACTTCCTGAGTCTAAATCCCAATATGTCTCTTTTATTAACAAGCCTGACTCACTGGCAGTGATCAAAGTTAATCAAAGGACATTTTCCTTGATATCCTCTGCTCCATAAGGCTATAAGAAGAAGATACATGCTCGTTAGCTGCTGAAACTTCACGTTCCTCCCTATAGAAGATTCATCTCAAGGCACTGTGCCTAAGGAATGGAGGGGATGAGAGGTTAAATTGTCTCTTTCAATTGTTGCTGTTTTTCCTTCATAGGAACTGAGTTCATGGACCTTGGGGTGTCTTCAAGCTAGAACCAGGCTTGAATATTAAGGCCTGAGGTAATATCCATGTGGTTGAACTTTTCTATCCATTCATGTAGCCCCAGATTGCTACTTTGGGCTTGGGGGGTATCTAATTTAAGATATTGTAAATAATTTTTCCATCTCTGTTGTGGTAAATATCCTACACTAGCGTTTTCTGAATTGGTACCCAACAGATGTACATGGATAGCATCCAATAAAAGCAACTATCACGCTCAAAGTTAACCTTGACCAGCATTTTGTATCACACAGCAGTCAATCAGATGTGTTCACAGGAAGGTCACATACATGAATTGAAGTGACAACCTTCTTGTACATTGTCTCCCTTGTAGCTGGCATTTAAGATTGGTTGCCTGTGATCAAAACAGCTATAAACAGCCACCAAGGCCACTAGATACTATAGCCGGATTCTTCATTAATTTCTCCAACCCTCTTTTAAACCTGTCTAAATTGGTGGTTACAAGGGAACAAATTCCAAAATGTAACTATGCATTGCATAAGTACTTCCTTTTATTGGTCATAATTATCCTGCCAGAATTCCTAGAAAACATCTTGGAAATTCCGGGAGTTCAGTCATCTCATTATGACACTGGTTTCTGTGTTCCAGCCATTCAGATGAAAACTTGATGGGTAACTGCAATCTCCAGAAATATTTGCCCAATTTTATATAACCTCAAATTCTCCATTGTTGTTTGTCTTCTCTAATCAGAAAGCCAGAGCTTAAATAAAACACATGATGCTTTTAAAATATAACTGACTTAAAACTAAAGGCTCTTTCTCATAACTACATTAGTATGAAATCTCGTGTCCACTGTTAGCAGAAAAGTATGTTGATACAAATTGTTCCATCCTGAAAACCTCAGGCTGGGAAGTGATGCTGTACTTACAGATTTGATATGGGACACTAAAGTATTTTTATATGAGCTGGATTTTTTTTCATTTTATTTATACATATAGTATTTATTTATTACCTACTCTCTAATAAATCAAACAGAAACAAATCCTTGCAAAAAACCTAACTAACTAAAGGCAGCCCTTGCATCATCAGCATCCCAATTCCATGGGGAATAATAAACACTCTCTTACAGTCCAGGAGGTTAGAGGCCTAGGTGTTTGAGTATGGGAGTAGCCACTGAGGAGCACTTTATCTGTTTCCCAGCCCTCACTTCCTCAGAATAAGGAACAAGGTGGAACCAATCTCTATGCCAACCTAACTAATCTCTGGGACCCAAGCCATGCAGAACAATAACCAGCATTTTGAATTGGGCTTAGAAGCAAACCAGTACAGATAGTTCTCGCTTACCGACTGCCTCGTTCAGCGACTGTTTGACGTTAGAATGGTGTATAAAAAAAAAAAGCTTTGCAACCAATCCTTGCATTTATGACTGTCACAGTGTCCCACAGTCATGTGATCACCATTTGTGTGCTTCTCAACTAGCTTGCGACAAGCAGAGTTAATAGAGAAGGCAGAAGTAAAATCATAAGTCGTGGTCACAAGATGTTTTGCTTAACGACCACAACGCTTAACGACTGAATTGCCAGTCCCAATTGTGGTTGCTAAGTGAGAACTACCTGTAATTAATGTGGTGAATATAGCATTGGTAGTATATGAATAGGATCAACTGACTCACCATTAAAAGTTGCACCAAACTACCTTCCCAAATTTAAGTGATGGTGGTCATTATAATCCTTTGCTTCATCAAGACAGAATTCTGTATTTTAAACAGTGTGACCTGTCACACCTGAATGAATCTGCTACTTCAGGGATTAGAGAGGGCACTTCCCTATGCCATTCATCAGCCGAGGTCTTATTCCTCAAACAACAAGAATTCCACATACAAAGAAATACCAGGCTGTTCCTTCTCTGTCTTGCTAACTATCTACTGTTATTTACTACCAGCATTCTATGTACAAATGCTGATTTCACAGTACCTAGAACAGGTACAGACTTGGTGCTCTCCAGATATACTGGAACCAGATATCCAGGAATCATCAACCAGTATGGCCATGATGGATGGAAATTAGAGGAGTGATAGGAGTTGTAGCTGAACTCTTCAGCAGAGCACCAAGTTTAAGAAGGTTTGTCTAGAAACAACAATAAAATCAGTAACAACTTGCCAAGCAACTGATCTTTTGAAACCCATATCTCATTAACTTTTGGAGTGTTGATGATAAATAGTTTAGCAAATACTGAGTATACCTCAAAGGGACCAGAACATTCCTGAAAGTCCTACTTATTTTATTTGGTCTTAGCCCATAAGAAATCAGCAAATTAATAAGAATATTATTCTGCTTTAGGAATATTCAAATTTGATCATTAGCAAAATTCAGAAGAAAACTGAAGCTCAAATGGTGGCCAGCATCCATCCACGTACGTGAAATAAGCTTCGGATATTCAAATTAGTGCTTATACAGATTTAATGTTGTACATATTTTGAAGTAAAGAAACTAAATGGTTAAATTCATCAGGTGTAGATGAATGTACCACATTAATATAGACTGAGCCCCACAATCTAGCATTCTTTTGCTTAAATATATTCAGCCAGTGGTGTCTGTGGGAGCAAAGGGGGTCAGAGTGATGCGACTCCCATCCTTTTTCCTATGTTTGTTGCAAAATTGCACATATGCCCCAAAGGGTTGGATCTTGTGGTGCAACTTTCATCATTTTGAAAAAAGCAGCAGGAGGATGCAGACATCACTGTGTGCAGTACTTTGACACTGAAGGTCAAACAGCACTTCAGAATGTGCACATGGGCAAATGTAACACCAGTCTACAACTCCTTAAAGCAGCTGCATCTTTTCCAGGAACCTCCACCTATCATATCTAGACAATAATTTATCACATAACCTAGTCACTGTTTTGACACATATTTTTTAAAAATATCATTTTCTAAGTGCACCTCAAATAATTTTCTGGAGAAAAATGCCTTTGGATTTCAATAATTTAACATTTTGTCTTTCAAAGCGATGGCTAGTGTAAAAAGTGGCAATTTTTATAGAAGTAGAAGACTATAAAACCACTAATCCCAAATCCAGTAAGATTTTTTAAAGGGACATGTCATAGTTAAAGCCCAACATATATAGCAATATCTCATACATATTTTCAGTGTAGTGAATCTTGATCTTACAGCCACCATCAAGCAATAGCTACCTTTATGAGCAAGTGTGAGGTAGTAGCCATCAGCAGATTTTCCACCATCTTTGATTAAATCTGTCAGCAAAGTTCAGGCCTGGCACAAAGTTCTTTTGTAGCTACGTGCTTATGCACCTAGCAATTTGTAACTATTGCTGAAAGGACCTAAAGAGAAGCCTCTCCAGTTGAAACAAAAGTTAATGAGCAATCCATACAGATGAAGGAACTATGCTAACTAGGAAAAGAGAAAGAAAAACAAATGAGCAGTGGAAACAGTGTGTGTGGTAAAATTAACAGTTATGGATGATACACTTTAGTATTTAAGGGATATAGGAATCGGATTCTAGACCTTAATGAAATATAACAAAATAAAGAACTATTAATAAAAAGAAAATCTAAGAATGTTTTTGTAGATTTAAGGAGACAGGAAAATGCAGAAGATACAAAGAGATTCTGCAGTGGGACATAATATGAGGTAATTTCTCAGGGACGATAAATACAACAAAATATAATGTGACATCACAGGAGCCATACTTTACAGTGATGAAAATGAGATGCAACAAAATTTGGGCTTGCTTATTTCCTTCCTTTTCTTCTTCTGGCACAGCCATGTGGAAGACTTTGGACATGCATGCTTGCCTTCTGTCTGAACTTGAGAGAAGACCACTTGTATTTTGTTTGAATCTGGCAGAAGATTCAGACATGTTTATTTCTGTTGTTGATTAATTTCTACTTGCCAATTCATCTGAATTATTTATGGCATTTTTATACTACTATCAACAACAAAAATATTGTCAAAGTCATTTGAAAACAACGGTCACAACAAACCTTACTGATGATTAGTCTCAACAAGGCCAGCACTGTACGTATGCATACAACCCATATGTGTTTCCTCAAGTGGCAGGAAGTGCTTATTAGCTGTGAGTCCTTTCAGCATGTATTTGGAACAAAATAAACAGATGGCCCGGCTTCGTTATGGCAGGCTGGAGCTGGTCCTGCTGAACTTCCCTATTCTATTTAACTGAAGTTAGCAACCTGTGGCCTAAGATTGCAGGCAATCTTTTGCTTACTTTAAGCGTCCTTGGTACAGGCTGTTCCACTGCACAAGGTGCTGTTGCAAGAACAAGAGAGAGATCAGAAGTGTGTATACTTCAATGGGTGGAATGTGCCTGAATGTGAGAAAGTGTAAAAAAAAACAAACTATAGGACTATAGAACCTTAAGATTGTCACACAGTACATATTCCCTGTTGAGCACAACCATATTTTTAATAGCGTAGAATTTAGAATTTATAGAATTTACTGAACAAGTCACAAATAAACGAATAAAAACATGGTTTAGAAATCAGTATGCCCATTCACACAATATTCTAAACCAAAAATCAACCAATCATGATGTGGTTTAGCACAATAGGAAAACCTGCCATAGAAAGAAAATGTGAATATGGATTGACTCTATTGCCATCTTGGCCTTCAAGAGATTATCGCTTCTGAAAGCAATCCCTCAGCAGAAAACTCCCACTCCAGCTCTACAACTGTGGAAATCCCATTTTCTTTTGCACTTGATTAGTTTCATCCTACCTTCTTCCCATCTCTCAACTGGTCTTTCAGAAGACGTCAATGCAGATTTAAGCATTTCCGATCTGCACCCATGTAACAGAATACAACTGTGCTGATAGAACAATCTTGGAAGCAGCAGCTATGTTAAACAAACATGCACACCCATTTGTGCATGGGAACTACAGAATGATAGACTGGACAAAAAAAATCTCTCTTTAATAATTTGTTTGAGGGTGCAATTTATCAATCTTTGGGGGGATACAGTATATGCATTGCATGAATATTTTAGGAAATAGTAATAAGAATGACACACTTGGTGACTTCATAAAGCGGCAGGGTGTTTGCAGGGTATGGTAAAGAAAAGTTAAAATGGTGTCCGTGATGGTGCAACAGTGCACATAAACAGGTGGGACCTTCAAGCACACGATTGTGGCTCCCATATTGATTGTTTTGACCATGGCCCTATAAAGTATTGTGAGTTTGAGAATTTTTTTGCTTCAGTTTATACAGCAGCCTTTGATCATAAAATATAGAAAAACTAGGAATAACATTAATGTCACATGAATGAACCAGTTTTAGCAGCTGCTATTTAATTCGCTACCAACAGAATGATGATAAAAATGTCTGACATGAAAAACAACAAAAACAATGGCATTTTCTGGATTGCAGAGTCACACCAATATGACAAACAGCAAGAGGCTTTGAAGCCAAACATTCTGTTCATTGCAGATGTGTGTAGAACTCAGTAAGGCTATAAATAAAAGCTGTTTAACCTGCTCTAGTATGAGAACATACTTTAATTTTAAACAGGAATGCCTACCTACATTTATTTCACTACTGTAATATTTCCATTTTTTTAAAAGCAGTTCATTTTTCTGTTTTCAGATTGGATTTCAATTGATCTGTACATGTGTGTATGTACAGTTATACACACACTGTTCTATGCATTTTCCTCCTATAGGAATATTTGCAAGTAATTTTCCTTTCTCATATGCTAGTGCATGTATTTTTAAAATGAGAGAACTGCATCAAAAATCTGAAGAAATCAGAAAAATCCACAACAGATAACTCTGCTCCAGCATATGTACTGTAACTAGTTGTGACATATAAATGCAAACCAAACAGTTTTATTCCCCATCCCTACTTTTAAAGTTAAAAAAAAAATCTTTTATTTCCAAATCCTACAGATTGGCTGAAAGTAACAAAAGGCACTATACCAGTTGGATCAAAGTCTTGAAAATAATCAGGACAATTCTGGTCAGCATATTCTCCGGCTGGTGTATCATCCCAACACAGCCATCCATCCCAGGTCCGGTTACAGTACAGCCCTAGAAATTTGGAAAAAATATAGCTTGATAGTTTTGGGGGAAATATACTAACCTTCTTTCCTAAGCTCAGAGAAATGTCTACAACATTCACAGAAACTGCTAGCACTGTTGCTGCTTTTAAATTGAAAGGTAAAGACTCCTTTGAGTTGAGCTTGGCTCCTGGTGACTGCATCTGTACTTTTCTGGGCAACAAGACAGAAGTGGCTTCTCACTGTCTTCTGAGATATTTTTTCAACTTTGCAGTATGGCCTACAGTCCTGAGATATCCTAATATCTCCCATCCAATTTCTAATTTGGTCCCACACGGCTTAGCTTTTTTTGAAATCTGCCAGGATCACTAGGTTCTGTCACCTGAGCTGGGTGATATTATTATTGCTGTTGTTGGTTGCACAGTCAGCCAGATGTTTAGAGTGAATTTGGCATTTTTATCCACCAATCGAGTCCTTCCCAGGGACCTGGATAGGCAGTTGTTGTTGTTATTGTTATTATTTCATATTGCATCCCATCAGTCCAGGAGATTACAGTGACTTAAATAAGATCCATCAGAATTTAAGTCAAGATTTGACATAACTAAGTGGTCACCGCCAAAAGTTTATACTATAACAGGGACCACTGACTATAATTCTATGGGCTTGTTCCTCTTCATCATTACAGCTTGCCTGTACAACCATTTCTTGCTCTGCTGGGAGGAAATGAGCTACTGTAAGGCTCTCGGCAGCTGACTTAAGCAAAAGCCCAATTTTTACAGTTTCCTTTAACAGGATTTATTGAAAGGAAAGGGATAGAGTTACAAGATTTTCAGCAACTGAATTACGGAATGACTTCAACTCATCAGAGCAGAGACTTTTTCAGTTTCTTTCTAATAGATGCCATGTGACCTGCAGAGCAGTTGGTTCTTTTCACATATTATGGAGGAGTTTGCAGGTGGCAGTTTAAATACTTCTGAATCTTTCTCAGTCTATGAACAGACCATTATCATCTACTAACAACAGCAGTAGTGAAAAGATGCAGAGCTGGTTGCTTACAATATGGCATAAGACAAGAAATTGGAGTAACTAGACACAGTGACAATGAGGGGACAGGATTACTTAGGTGGGAAGGTACTGAAAGTGTCTTGTCCAAGGGCCACAAAAGTCTGGATCTGGCAGTAGAATGATGTTACTTAAACCTTACAATACATCAATGAATTGGGAAAGTCTTCTAGCAGGTTTTGAGGCTAAATGATATTAGAACCCAAGACATATGGTAAGAATTGTTAACGATATCAAAAATGCTGGGCCATCCTTGGGGTTGCTACCTATAAGAAAATACCAAATAATTTTGCTGGGCAGCTTGAGAAGAGCTTCCAGGTGCATTTTTCTCATGATGGGAGGTACCTGTGTTTCAGTGTGGGTGGATGGTCTTTCCTTAGAAACACACAAGTTAAAAAGCTGTTCAGTTTGTAACTGATAAATAATGACGGCAGCACCCCATCTTAGAACAATCATATTTCTTTTTTAGAAATTGCACATTTTCTTCCAGGCTTTATACTGGATAAAAGAATCTATCATGGAATTAGTGGATAAGATTAACAATAGAACAAAAATGCAACCGAAATACATTTCTGAAAGACAGCACAGTCAGCTATGTAGGAGGCTTAGTTTTTAATTTTGAAAAGATTTGTCATTCTATGAAATGAAAAACATTTGTATTTTCCAATATACTATGGAAAGTTTTTCACCCAGGGGAAATAAAACAGGTTCTTCCCCCTACAGATTATTTTTGGTTTTTTGAAAAAGAATGAAAACCAATTTTATTTCTACACAATATGTACTCTCAATCTGCTTACTTGCTATTCCCAATTATTTGTTGCCTCATTAAAATAATCTATTTTCTTTTTTATCTGCATGCATCTTTTCAGTTCAGTTCTGTATTATGCAGCCTTAACAGTGATATATATTTTTTTCATTTAACAAAGATATAATTCATCCTGTGTTACTATCCCTCTGCTGGGAAAGACAACACTTTTGAGAGCTAAAAACACCCCTGCTACATGGGGCTCAATTTTAAGGTTTTGGATGGCATGCACGCAAGTTAAATGGCAGGGGAATGACAGCAAGAAGTCAGTCAAAATGTGGTGGCTTTCTCTTGGGTATGTTCCACTCCAAGGAAAAAAACCCAAACTCCTTTATAGGTATTTGTTAGAGTACCTTCCTTAACACATTATATTAAGAATGACTCTCTAATATCTACTATTAGATATCTAATACTCCTGCCTTATGAGACTGAAGTCCCAATTCCAAACCTTTTCAAAAATATTATACAAAAGTAAGTTCCATATTGTCAGGATATCAGTGGGAATGGAAGTGTTACATGTTTCACATCTGCCCAACATTAAAGGTGTTATTGAAATTAATCTGTCTAAACTGGGTTTCCTCCAGATGTCTTAGACTGCTTACCTCCAGATGTTTCATACAACAATTCCTACTGTAAATAATACGTATTAATTATATAAAATGAAAGTGCATTCCTTGGTAGAACGCTTACCAAAAATAGAGAAGTTTTAAGACATTCAAATGCTGGCAGACTGGTAGTGGGCTTTATATGGTTCATTGTGAAAAAGTAATGTTTGTTAGAAGAACAAAAATGGCTGTGCATTAGAGCGTCATTCTACCAGCTTTGTTATTTGGAAGTCAAATTTGGGCATGTCAAGAGAATTTTAAAAGCTGAATGCAATGAGAATAAGATACTTAAGGAAAGTATATATGCTAAAACAAGAAGAATAAGATTAAGAATGAATGGGTATGAATGAATGTAGAATGAATACAAAAGTAAATGAAGAACACAGAAAGCAAGTACATTGAGGTCGTTTGGTCATATGCAGAGAATGTAAATGAGGACCAAATCACAAAACACATACATTTAAGAGTTAATAGGTTTGAAGAATGGAAAGATCAGGAAGTCAGGGCTGGATGGATTTGATGAGATCCTCAAAAGACACCGGGGAGAAATTTAAATAATAAAATGTATAAATTTATGTACATAGGTGGTAGAAGCAAAAATGCTTTACAAGAATAGAAAGTTAATAAGAGGTATGGTATTATATTCATCTATAGTATATTTAGCTATTTTCATTAATTACCTTTTTCTTCATATTGTAATTTCTTTGGCTTAGTATTCCTTACTCCTTTTCTTCACTTTGTATAACATTCCTTACCCCAGGAAGGAAATGGGTATGTGTATACGTATGCATGTAAATAATCTGAAATAGTAGCTTCTATTGAAACAGACAATTAGCTATATTGTCTTTAAAGGTGCCTCTACTTGTATTGCCTTGGTCTAAGTCAAAGCTAAACAAATTACATTTATGGCTTATCATTCTATATTTCTCCCCCGCAGAAGTATGGCACTACCTAGTGAGGGGAGTGTTTGGGTCAGGAACTGAATACTGTATACCAGCTGTATGTTGGATGAACTCTCTGCCTCTGTTCTCCTTACCCTGTTCACTGATTTCCAGGAATCAGTGAATATTCAGGACAAATAACTGGTTGCTTTCACACTGGAATTCTTCAGCATATCTCAGGAATTGCTTTTTTGAAAAGTGAAAACCAAAACAAAGAGTAGCTCCACAAAGTTTACTTATAGTTATTTACATCTCGCATTCATTAATCTCTTTGATGGTTCTGCCTCTTTTATTCAGTATGATGTGGCACCAAATAGCATCTCTCTTTTATTAAAGACAGCACTTTAAAACCACTTAGCCACTTAAACATCTAGCTGGATGAGCTGCTTTACTCTGCTACAGGGATGAGTGTACAAAGAACCTCCTTGGATTTAGCACAGATGCAAATAATGCTTTTTTTCCCCTTTAATTGGTCTCAATTCCCTGCCGTGGGGGAAAATCCTAATTAGTAGAATCTATTCTTGCATTCTTTTTTTTTCTTTGATAGAACACAGCACTATTTCAGAGCAAGAATATGTTTCTGTATAAATAATGAAAGGAAGTCATCAATTAAACACAGATAAACAGGTTTTATTCATATGATACATCCATCCATAGCTAAGTAAAGTGTATTCAACAGAGATAATTTTCTGGATTTGCACAATCAATAGAAGTATAGGGTTGGGTTTGTACATGCTAGGCTAACATGTAGTTGGGTAGTTGTATGGCTTGGTATGTCATAGCCAGAAAGATGAGATGATGACTAGTTAAGGGGTAATTTAGAAAAGATGCATCTCTAAACCTCCTGACCAAGAAGCAGTAACAGGACAAAAATTACAAGGAAGAAACTTTCAATTAAAGACTCAATAGTCTCTTGTCCACATTCTGATTGGCACAATAATAGTATTTGTTTCTTTTGTCTATGAAATCTTGCCACAACTCAAATCTAAATACAGAACAATACAAAAAATACTAGGATGCAACAAACCATGGAAAATAAAGGCCAGTATGGGCTCAAGGTCTAGAAACCTGATCACCAACCCAGTTTTAAAGAAATGCTGCCTTCAGAATGTATTCACCACAATTTCAAAATGAAGAAGTTTTCTGCTTAGAGAAATGTTATAGGTAATTTAAGGTTATACTTGACACTTGCACTATTTATAAAATTTCATGAGATTTCAGCCTAATATTTATTATCAGACATTTTTGCCTTTATGACTGTGTTCACACTAGTTTTCTCTCACCCCTGTTTTCTTTTTAGCAATCCAAACCCACAATGCATTAAATAATAATTTAAAAATTGTTTTCTTTCTCTCTTTATTTCCTTTACCTTTTTTCTTGTAAGGAGGTGTTCTGTTCATTCTTTCATAGCACTTGAACTGCGAATCTACTATTTTCTGGCGTATCACTGAATATTCCGTTGCTATAGACTCTAAGGTGGGATCAGCATAACTTACAGTAGCTGGGCAACTTGGAGCCATTTTCTGTACAAAAAGAAACGTCTGTTAATATCTGTGAGTTACACCAGGAGAATATAATAAAAAACAAAGTTTTTTCATCTGTTTGTTCAGTCAAGGAGTTTGAAAAAGTTGCCAGGAAAACGTACAATAGTCTCCTTCTCTGGAACGTGTATCTTTACAGCTAGCAACATGGAGGACTGAATGCAACTTTCCATGATTGTTTTCCTTGATTACCTGGCAGATCTTTTATCACATCTTTTTATGGGAATAACCCATGTAGAAAGACTGCAGTGGTCTGGTGTGGTGAGCTCTGCGCAATCTCTTATCTCTCCTTTTAATGATCGTAGCAAGATATAGTGGGTTTTGCATGATCACACAAACCCTGGCTATGGGCACATCTCTGTGAGTAGAGATGATATTGTTACTGTATTCTTTGATTATGCTGTTAAATTGATATTGGAAAGAAAAAAAAGAGAGCGGGCCTCCAAACTATTTCAATAGCATAATGACATTCCCTTGGTCATATTCTGTCTATTTTATTACCATTTTCCTGTGTTGTCAACACCAATAAATATATATCTAATCTAACTCTTTCATATTCTTGGAACACATACAGGGCCAGAACAATGTTTCACATATTGGTGCAAAGAAGCGTATCACATGCTCACAGGACAGCTAATTGTGGGTAAGCATATTTATCTTTGTTCATATAATGTAATGGTACAGTGTGCATTCACCTAAATTAAACAGATATTATTTAAAGCACGAGTGGGCAGAAGATGGATTTGGGGGTACTCCAGGGATTCTGGGTAATTTGCCCTGGATCTGCAAGGTTTTTTACAAGGACAGGCAATCAAAGGGAAGCTGAGCAGTGCTATTACCTATGATTCAGGAATATCAAAAAAATACAAGAAGAACAATACTGGAGATGTTCTGTAAGGTTGGACAAATAATACTTATATTATATGCATGCTTCCATGAAATTTTCTTGGCAACAATACAGAAGTGATTTGCCATTGCCTTCTAGGGTACTTTTGCAATCTCTCAGTCTTGTTTACAGGACAGCTACCAAATTGGGTTTCTGCAGCTCAGATTAGGTAGCCCTAGTCTATAGACCTGGAATTCCCTGGTAATCTCCCATCCAAACATTAACCTGACCCTGTTTAACTTTCAAGTCCATGCAAGGTCAGTCATGTTGATGGCAAGGATTCAGGAAAGGATGGATTGTGTGGGTGTGAATATGGTGAGGTAAATTGGAAGTGTGTTGAAAGTACCTCAAGTTAGGTGGGAAAAACCAGATGATACCGGTTTGAGGGAGGTAGAAAGGGATTGTCTCAAGGACGTATGCTGGTGGATGAGAATAGCTGAACTTTCCTGACCCTTAGCTTATTAAAATAGTAAGTTTCCCTCCCCTAGTGAGGTAATTCCATGCCCTAGGGTGGAGACCTTGACAAGATAAGGAAGTAATGAGGGGTTGTTATGTAACAGGTGGTTATTGCGACTGTGCGGTGTTGTGACTGACAGAAAGCGTGCAATTTTGTTACTTTTAATGGTAAATAAAAGACTTTGCCGCCCGAGGTGCAGGGCTCTTGCTCCTTTAGAGGCAGGAGTCCATTTTGCTGAAGTACTTCAATAAAAAGTTTTCTTTCGCTCCAACCCGTGTTTTCATTGGAATCACACATCGGGAACAACGCCACCTTTTGGTCAACATTTTCTGGTGACCCAGATGGGACTTCCGGCCTGATCCTTGAGGAGAGGGAGACCAGCGCAACTGGCGCCAAGGTCCCTTTTGTGACCTGTCGAAGCCTCTCTGTCTCTCTTTCTTGGCCCACGGCCATTCAGAGGTCTGCCAAGGAGCGACCGTAACTTCACTGATGACTGGAGGTAAGGCAGCCAACTCAGGTTATCCTTACGTTAGTCCCTGAGGTCCAAACTCCCAGTACTGGTACTCTGGGATCTGGTTTTGGAATTCTTCCAGTATTTGTGGGCTGGGATCAGGTCTCTTTTAGACCGTAGAAGGGCAGTATGGGATCTGGAGACAGTAAATCTGGAGCCTGGGCAAAAAAATGGGAATGTTGGCAGGGAAGCGGGAAGACTCTGTGAATGTGTCAGTGAATGGACCCCCCAGAGATACTCTTGTTGGATGCATCCTAGAAAATTTTGAGGATTTGGGAGGTGCGAAAATTGGGACTAAGGCAGCCTTTTCTCATTACTGTTCATCAGTCTGGCCACGTTATGCCAGGGCAAGAGAGAGATTTCTGGCCTCCTCAGGGAAGTATTGACTTAATGTTAATAGAGAAGTTGCAAAAATACCTTAAAATACAGAAGAGTGAAATTGAACTCAGATATCATTGTTTGTTAAGTTGGTAAATAGTCCCCTGTTAATAGGAGAATGTGGATGTGGAACGTGCCCAACCCTGAGGGGGAAACAAGGGGAAGGAAAGACTTTCCTAGTCATACAGAATGACCTGGAAGAGGAAACTGCCTGCCCACCTCCGTATGTGTTTCCTAGACCTATTTTGCAGTTGCCATTGCAGGAAACCTTGGTACCAATGGAATGGGGGGAGGGGCAGTGGCAAGGGTATTGGTGTATGCCCCTTTGTCGACAGCAGACCTGTATAACTGGAAACAACAAATTCCATCTTATAGGTCAGATCCAGGATGGATGGCCAATCCTATAGCATCTATATTTTGTACCCACCAATCCACCTGGCCGGACATCCAGACCCTTTTAGACATATTGTTTACTCTGGAGGAAAGAAGGATGGTTATCAGGGGGGCTCAGTTGGATAGGGAGTGCAGAAATGATCCTGCCTTTAATCTCCCATTGACTGACCCCCATTGGAGTACTGATAAGGTGGCTGACATGACAGCCTTACAGAATTATTGAGACTTAATTTTGGAAGGAATAAAGAATGGGGTACCTAAGGTGAAGAATTTGTCTAAGGTATATGAGATTAAACAAGCCAGGGAAGAATCTCCTAGTGCTTTCTTAGAAAGAATTTATGAGGCTTTTTGGAAGTATACTGACTTAGATACAGAAGATGAGGACAATGTGAGAATGGTAACTATGTTGTTCATGGGCCAAAGTTATGAAGATATTAAGAGGAAATTGCAGAAGGTAGAGGGAGGGCCAGCGATGCCAACCTCTCAATTAGTGGAAATAGCATATAAGGTATATGTGAACAGAGGGGCAGAAGAGGATAAAAAGGAAAGGGCTAGAGCCAAACAACAAACTATCCTTTTGGCATGGGCTATTAGACAGGAGGGGGTAAACAGGCGGTCTCACGGAAGAGGCGAGCAAGAAGAAAGGGAAAATAGAAAAGGAAATAGGAAACTCCTAGGAACCAACCAGTGTGCTTCCTGTAGGGAGAATGGGCATTGGAAAAGGGAGTGTCCAAAGAGGGACAACGACAGATGGTAGTTGAAGAGGACTGATGGGGTCAGGCCATGAAGGGCCTATATTACAGGCCCTCTTCCCCGAGTCCCTGGTAAACTTGCAGATAGGGGGAGAATCCGTAGAAATGGTTGTAGATACTGGAGCTACCCGATCTGTCCTTATTACCCTATTGGATAGCCCCTTGGGGAAGTCCATTCCAGTAACAGGGGCCTCTGGAGAAAACCGACAGGTGGGGGGTAATGGAACCATTGTCCCTCTGAATCGGAAGCAACCTACTATAGAAAAATTTAAAAGATTTGGCCTAATACGAACTTCATCCTCATGGAATACTCCTATTTTACCAATAAAGAAACTGGATGGCATCTGTTGGATGGTCCAGAATCTAAGGGGGGTGAACCAGAATACTGTTGTCTGTCCTTAATCCCTATATGCTTCTGACCTGGGTGCCCCCTGGGAATTAATGGCTTATGGTCCTGGACCTAAGGATGCTTTCTTTTGCCTTCTGGTGGCAGAAGAGCGCCAAGAAACCTTGGCTTTGAATAGATAAACCCTAGGACAGGGGAACAGTTGCAATATACCTGGACTAGGTTACCACAGGGCTTCAAGAATAGTCCCATCACTTTTGAGAACTGTTTGGCAGCCGATTTGTTTAATTCAAGTTGGGAAAGAGGTTTTACTATCAAAGGTACCGGCTTCGATGTCTTCTTGTCTTCAAGGTGAACAGGCTCCTAGTTTGAACCAGCCGCTGCATGACATAGAGCCAGGAGATTAGGTCCTGATTAAATCCTGGGGAGAAGAATCTCTCCAGCCAAAGTGGAAAGCCCCTTCCAAGTCCTGCTGACAACTTACACTGCTATAAAGGTGGGAGGAGTAATGTCTTGGATCTATCACACCCGCATAAAGAAGACACAGAAGCCAAAGCCAGAGTGGACATCACAACCAGTAGAGAAAGATGATTTAGGACTTAAATTGCTGTTTAGGAAGAAAGCTCGAACACCTTAGAGACAGTGAATGGGAGGAGCTAAATCTCTGAAATTCTGGGTGTTGGGAACCCCAGAGACACCCCAGGCTGAGCTACACGGACTTCCATGGGGAAAGTGGGTTTAGAATAAATACTTGCGAGTTTGGGTTAAAAAAAAAACCCTGAATCGAGCAGAACGAGGATTTAACATTCCCCTGACAGTAGACTACATATATGATGGAGATCTTAGGTATTAGTGTCATGGTGCTTTCCTGTGAGGTGGGGTGAGTGCTTTGTTTGTCCTGGTGAAATTAAGGGCAGAATCCTAACTCCTTTATGACTCTATCAGAAATAATAGCTGAGGGACTGAACCAATCCCAATGTCGGGTGTGCACCATGATGCCTCTTAGTGCAGAGCATGGAATTCCCTTAGTTCCTCTGCCATTGAATTTGAGTCAGCTGGCAGAGGGGGGTGAGAGATTGGCCGAATCTCCGTGGTTAGGGAGAAGTGCTTATAACACATGACAAAGGTTACTTAAAACAGCTTTGGAAAGATCAGGCGATCTTGCATTTATTTCTAGCACCCACTTTTATTATTCCACTTTACTGTGGCAATATAAGTAAGGAAATCTACTGACAATATGAAATATTTCTCTTTCTCTA